AACGCCGTGCCTACGGTGGTCCACGGGGAGGAGGTCTACGCTTTCAGCTCCCCGCAGGTCTGCAAATTGAGATCGCAGGCGTCCAGGCCACGTGGCCAGAGTCTTCGTCGGCTGAACGTGGACCTCGGCTTGACGGTGTCCAAGGTAGAAGGGGCCGATCTAAGCGGCAGCAGCTGCGTTCCAGAGATGCTGCGCAGAATGGCGGATGGCATCAGCTCCCCGAGACGACCTTCAACGCGTGCGTTCGGATGCATTGCAGGCGCCGCTCCTCGCAAAGCTGTTCAGAGCTGCCCAGGCCAGGTTTGGTTCAAATGGTCAACAGGATATGTGGTTTAGGGGGGGTCGGGGACCAATGGCTCCTCTTGCGCCGGGAGGTTGGGCGGCGTGACGAGGGGCCGTCTCGCCCTTCGGGACCAGAGTGGTCACTTATTGGGTGCCGCTGCTCTACCGCCCTCTTGTGTAGCTAGGCGGTCTGAGCAGCAATATATGATTGTTAGAGTCCAGACGGTCGTCGGGTCTGTTTGTGAAATCCACCCCTCCCCTGATTCTGAGGCTTCGTCTGAACCGTGGGCTCTGGGTTGAAAGATTTTAAGTTGCGGGCGCAAGATGTCGCGGGGGCAGGTGCTATATTGCAGGCAGGCGTTCGGTGGGTGTATACCCACTGCGTCGACCCTCAGGAAATGGGGGCGCGGTGTCGCCACCGTGCGCCCGCGTGGACATGCGAATGTTCCGAATGTAGGTTTGCAGCGCTTGAGAGACAGGAGATATTTCGGGGGGAGTTGGTCGGCCCAACCATCGCAGCCAGTGCCTCCAGTTCGCTTCTCTCCAGTAGATGGTCGGCTCGAGTTGGCGCCCCCCCTCCGTCCGACGCGTTCGCCGCCCATTTCTCCAAAGATGGAGCGCGGGCAGGCCCCTTCGGATCCGGCCCTGAAGGCCGGCTCAATGAGCGCGGCTCTTGCGGCAGACCGAGTGGCGGGTTCGCGTCGAGAGCGGCGCGGGGGGTTGGGGGGTGGGAGGTGGCGCTGTCCGAGGCAGGAGGTTGTGGTCGAGTCATTTACCGTGCCGCCCCTGCCGCGCTAGGCCAGAGACGATGGGCAAACGCGTCGGCGTCGCGCAATAGCACGCGCGCATCAAGCATCACGGTGGGGCCGCGAGGCCCCAGTGCGTTGATTTCGAGGCCCTTATGAGGGCCCAATCGTATCATTATCTTGCCCTGGACCCAGAGAGCCCCCACAGGCATGTTTTGAGACAGGTCGCTCAGGACACAGCCTTCTGGAGCAGGGTCAGCTTCGGGCGAAGCCGACCTGCTCGACATCCGTGGCAACAAGGCCGCGGACTGGCCGGCGGTCTGATTCGCCCGAGATCGCGATTTCGATCCGAATGCAGTCGGACATCTGGCAGGAGCTCAGAAGATGCATGGGGGGGTAGGAATAGGTGATATCTTTTCCTTGTGCCCCCCACCCCGCGGCTGAGCTTCTTGAGTGCGACAAGGATTTTGTGGGACCCCGGGCTTGGGGGCCCTGCTGGAGCCCGCATGTTCCTTGCTGGCGCTAAGATCACAAAGGCTTCGCCGCTCGCTCGAACCCCCTGGCGCGCCTTTACCGCGTCCCCTACTTGAGCCTCTTGAAGGCCCCTGACACCCATGGCCACCGTCTCAATTTGTCGTGGGTTGTGGGTTCGGATGCCCCTTTTCTTCTGGTGCACCAATTGTGGCACAATGGAATGACAAAGGCACTCTTGGGGAAGAAACGTGTGGAGAACTTTACATCCCCCAAAACATCGCAGTACTTCAGTGGTAAGCTGCCAGTGTCTCCATGTCTGTTGCACGGCGCCCTCGCTACAAATGGTAGCGTGCGTCAGGCACTTTGCGACTGGAGTGATCCCTCAGGTCTCCTTGCTTCGTGCTTGTGCCCAATTGGTGTGTCGTGCACTGCATGAGTCATCGTTGCTGGTCTCTGTTGGCGTTCACAGAAAGGAGACGGGGAGGAAGAGGAGGAGGAGGGGATCAAGAAGGAGGAAGAAGAGGAGGACGATGTAACGCAGCAGGTACAGGAGGGGGTAAACGGAGGAAGAGGAGGTGGAGGTACACGAGGAAGAGGAGGAAGGGGAGGAGAAGCAGGTACAGGAGGAGGGAAAGGAGGAGGTGAAGGAATAGGAGAAGGATGGCGACCAGGAGGAAGTATACATTGAGGATAATGAGGACAATACTAATGATGCTGATGATGATGAGGAGGAGGAGGAGGTAAATGGGGAATCGGCAGCAAAGGAGGATGCACAGGAGGAGGTACAGGAGGTGGTGGAGGGGGAGGGACAGCAATACTAGGATGACGATGATGATGACGATTATTATGATGATGGTGATGGTGATGATTATGATGATGATGATGATGATGATGATGATGATGATGATGATGATGCTGATGATGATGATGCTGATGCTGATGCTAATGATGATGATGATGATTGTGGTGGTGAGAATGATGCTGATGATGACGATGTC